AATCTCTATGCCCTCATTTGTTAAATTTAGAACATTGCGTTAGATGTCATCAAAAATTTCAGAAGAGATATAAAATTCCAATTTGTAAAGATCAAAGCTTGAAAAAGAACTAAGTTACGGCTGGTCGTCACACAATATAAACTTTTATTTTAGAGATTGTTGCATTTATGTAAATCAAATAATAAATTCGAAAATGTTATTAATCATTTCGAAATAGTTCTTTGTAAACCTTATTTTTTATTTTTTGTTTGTGCACATAATTTTCAAAAATTATTTAAATAGAATTCTATAATTTAACTCGATAAATGCAATATATAATTATCCGTAATAAAAAACATCACTATCTAAGTCAATGGTCACTTTTTGAAAATTTGTTATTGAGATTTGTAAATAGTCATAACATACTAATTTAATTGGAAATTGTTTTACATTTATAAGCAGTGGATATTCGTTTTCATATTACAAAGATATGAGATTTAAAAACAATTTGACTAACTTTTATCGATTTTATCACTTGTTAAAATTTTGTATGTGAGTAAATGATCTCATCAATCTGTAATTAACAATCTTTTGATATTACACAATTTTTCGGTAATACTTATATGTTTTATTAACATTGTAATATAATTCATTTTCAAATTCAATTTGTTGTATGTTAAGCATTATGGATTTAGAGAATTGAGATATTCGATCATAACATTATGTAATTATTATTATTCATTACGCTATCAAATGCAGTGTATAAACGTTCATTAGTGTAAGTAATAAAGTAAAAATTCGTTTACTAATATTATCTGCATCTTCATTCCAGCTAATAATATATCGCACAACTACCAATTTCATCAAATTTATTATCATGAATAAGTTTCCTAAAAATACCATCAAAAAATTTTTTTGTAGATGATAATATACAATGTTAAAGAATAGCGATATAAATATCTTTACCATTGTTCAAAAGTCACATTAAATAATTTTATTAACATCAATTCGTAACTTGGTTAATTAAATAACTTAGAATCGTTTCCATTTGAAAATTATGACTCAATAAATAATTATATTTTCTAATTTGATTTGATAAAGGTTAATCGCTAATTGAATTAAATAATCAAAACAATTTCTATATATCCTCTTAGTTACCCAGACAATTAATCAATTTCTTCATTTGTAGTATTTCTCGTATACCATCGTTATGACAAACTATTTCACTCGAATAAAAATTATGCACAAGTAAAATATAAATATATATAGCATCAAAGTTCAATAAACTGTTAATTTTCTGACATATACAGCAGTAAACTAGCAAATGAGCACACATGTTCACTATTGTGAGGTAAAGGTCTCAGTCAAGATTCAGAATCAATAATAAATTTTAGAAGTAACACAACTAATTTTTTTTGATATTAATAAAATCATATCATCTTCATATTACTCATACAAAGGAAAGGGTCAGGTGAATAAATTTATATCGAAATCAGAATCTAATATGATTTAAAAGCACATAACATACATGTTATTTCAAAAATTTTGCGCCAAATTACGACGAATTGTATAGGTCAAACAAATGTCAAAATCTCGATCTTCAACCAAGTAATCAAAACTTTTAGAAGTTTCATTTTTTATGAAAAGGAATCCTTCATATGGCACTACTGAAGTTGTGGCTGAATAAAAAACGTAAAAAATTTCCAGTTTTCCAGTTAGAAACCATTGAATAAAATTAATTATGGTGTGTTTAAAAAAATTTAAATCGAATGAAAAACCATGGATTTTATTATAGAATATGATTCTAGGGCCCTTAAGGAGACTCCTCCAAATAAGATCTAAATCTAGAAGTTTACCGTTTTCTTTACTGATTGAATCATTTTTCAACATTTCATCGTATTTACACGAATAATAACGTTTAAATGTTTGAGCAACAAATAATTATGGTTTTAAAAATAAATAATATAAGAAATTATAAAGTATAAATAATTTATTTTACTTTTCAACTATATATAAAATAAATTCTTTTTGACAGTGAAGTAATGAAAATATGCAGCCAATTATTTATAGCTTATATTATAAATATAATAGCGCTCTTTTATATTTTCTAAATAAATTTTAATTAAGACAAAATAAATATCATAGTTTTTTAAATGAAATAATGAAAAATATAACAATCTGCTTTAATAGCTTACAAATAACTACTATTGTAGTCACATATAGTTTGAAGCAAATGACTTGCGAACTTAGGATCTGTAGTTACCGTACCTTTTATCCACGTTTTTTTAATTTAAGATCACAATGAATAAATTCCGTGGATTACTCACTGAAAAATCCAAGTTCTTCGTTAATTTTTAAAAAGAAGTCAGTATATGGTGAAATGTTGCATCAGTTTTAGAAGTAATATTTATATTAAATCTAAATAACTTTACCAAAATTTTTTTAAACCAATTTTAGAGCCAACCCGTTATGAAAAAAATAATAATCAAACAATCATCTCAGGTTACAACATGTGTGTTTCGTTGGTAAATATCCAACCTCATCAGATCTTTATTAAAAAAAACAAAACGAGAAAATGGTTACAATAACAGATATAAACCAAAAACAAATAAAAATCACGCTAACAAAACATTTACCTCAATTCGCAAGTCACAATCAAATTAAATATCACAATAAGTAAGTTTATAAAAATTTTGCTTAACAAAATGGAGAGTGTCAAGAATAACATAACTTTACCAAAATTCATTTATTGTATAAACAAAATTTAGATGTAATTTTTCTGGAAAATACGAATCAATCACTGATCGAAAGTAAGCAAAACATTTAACGTGTTTCAAATAATTAATATTACAATTTCCACAAAGAATACCTATTTTGTTTGTCAAAGTCTTACTACTGTTTCCTGTAAAAGCAAGTTCGCAGAAAGTTATTTCTCTTGTAACATTATTTCTACAGCCTAGTTCGCAATACTTTCTTGGAACTACATATGTTTATATAATATATTGCCTGTACCAATCACTAAATACAATTAAGAAAGAATGATTATAATTTTTTCAATGTCTTTTCCAAATATTTCACTTTCCTCGAAGACAAAAAAATTCACATAAATTTTTGCATCGTGTTATTTCCTGGTATTTTTTATCCGAAGCTAATAATTTTTTATAATATGAGCAATAGTTCTGTAAGTCCCATAACGATGCAATTTACTTTTCGGTACATTACACTATGGGCAAGGGTAAGTTTTTGCATGCAACATTATACATACTAAAAATTATTAAGCTTTAAATCTGCAGCAATAGTATAATTGAATTTATTCAAGTTCAAAAGAGTCTGTAACATAGAGTAATTGTCGTAGTTTTTTTGAAGTCAATCTACTATTCCTAAAACAAGTAATTTCTTCATACTTGAATCTTTGAACTGGTTTGTTGCTATACCTCGGCTGTATTGTGTTGGACATTTTTGGTTTGCATTTTAAACAAAAGTACGATTGTCACTTTGAATCGGTAATTATACTTTTAAAAATCCTCTACCACTATATACTTTTTTTATTTTCACTTCGGTATTTTCAGGATGTTCATTTACGTATGCACATAACGAAGCTACATATTAACATAATACAGAATCTTTAATTTCAATAGAAATATTTTCACCACATGACTTGGTGAATGACAGTTTCTTTACGCGAAAAAACAAGTTAAAACGATGGCTTTGGTTATTTAAGTTTTTCCAAAAATCGTTTTCAAATAATTTTTTTTTTCTTAGAGTAAAAACTATACTGCAATTGTATTACTACTTTAATAGATGATTAATTTGAAGTTTTGAATTTTAATTTTATTGTTACACTCATGAATTTTTCCTTTTTCACTTCTGATAAATACTTATGACACTGTTATATGATAATATTTTGTGGTGGTACAGCTTTCTGTGGTAAGTAAATTTTGTTCTCGTAAAATTACAGAGTGCATTGGCATTTACTTTGAGATGTAGATCTAGTAGTATTAAAAGAATTAATCTACGTTGAGTAATCTAGAAAAGAAATAATTACATTTTTGTTGTTCAGCTGCCCATAAAAAATAATTTTATACTTGTTACGTATAGCAGTAGGTAAATGAATGCCATTTGCATCGTAAGCTGTATGAAACTTTGAAGCTTAAGTCCGATAATTAACATGTTTTTTTTTTTCTTATTTCGGTATAATAAACTCAATTTTGAACGATTTTCTTCGTGGGTATACGCATAGTATTTTGAATGTCATATTATTTTTCACGGTTAAACGCACAGAAGCAAGTTAAAAATCAAATTTAAAAACGGATATTTCTTCATCAAACTAAAAATGAAACAATACTAATAGGTAGATAATACATCATAATAAAATTTAATAGAAACGAACGGCAATTTTTGTTATGAGTATACGTATACTGTTACTTACTATGCACAAAATGTAAACAGAGATTAAGCCGGTGATATGAGCCAATGGATCTATGTACAAAAGATGCGAGATGTTTCAAATAAAATTTTCTTTACTTGATTCTCAAGCGTATAACGTTTTTGAATTTATAATGTAAGTTATGATCAATTTGTTATTTTTTTCATTATTTCACTATAAACAGCGTGAAAAAAATTATATTCAGTTTAATATTTATTGTATTACTTACTCATAAAACCATAATTCTTTTTTACTCAAATATTTAAACGTTATTATTCGTATAAATATAATAAAATGTTGAAAAAAACTTTACATCAGTAAACAAAACAGCTTACTTCTAGATTTTGTTATTTGGAGGATTTTCTTGAAGGGCCCTACAATCATATTTTAAGATAAAATTCACTGTGGTTTTCTATTCGATTTAAATTTTTTGAAACACTATGATGATTTACATACTGTCTAAAAGTAAATTAATTAAATTCTGTATGGAGCATTTTTCATGAATTATTCTATATAGTTGCATGTTTATTTTTAAAAATGAAGCAAATGAAAATTTTATTGTAATAAGTATAAAAATTATACTATTTATTAGACATCATTAATTTTTATTGTAGGGAGTTCATACTGCCGGCAAAAGTCATAACTTTACATCATATCTATAATAATATAAGATATATATAATTTACAGCTACATTGAAATAATTATAACCACATTCATTGATGACACGTGTTCATGTCTCAATCATTGAATACCAAAACGGTCATTTAATACTGCTATAAAACATCGGTCTGGTATATTTTAGGAAAACAGCTCTGACCGTTTAGATGGTTATGCAAGCCACACGCGATATAATCGTATTTGAAATATTGCATTTTCCCGAATCTTAAAAGTATAGATTAGCTTATACATAAGAATATGTACAGAAAGTAAATTGTGTGTGTGTGTGTGTGGTAAACTAAAAACAAAATTATTATTCTAAAAAACAAAAAAATATGTGCTAATATTTACATAGTTTATATATAACATGACCAAATGATGGCATGATGGCAGATAGCAGGATGCCGTAGAGATATTAACAATAAATAACAAAGATGCAATCTAGAATCAGAAAGATAAAAGAATGATTGTTGGTCAATATTGACGATGGAATTTCTACGTCTTTTCAATGACGTCACTTTTGTAAGGCTGGAAGAGCTTGATGCTCTTGGTAGTTGTCAGCGTCGGTATACTGGTAGCAGCAGCGGATGCTGAAAAAAGACCCGTATATAGCTGGCTTCCACTTGAGTGCTGTTGAAGCTGAGGGCTTTTGCTTCCGATATTGCCTTGGTAATTACTTCGGCAACTGCCAAGGCCAGAATTAGCGTTGCAGTTGTAGTCACTGCTAGATGAACCTGCATCTGAGTTGGCTGGACTAAGCTGCGGCTGGGCTAGCATAGGACTAGGCCTTAGCGGTGGCTGTGACGAATTTTGATAAGCAGCGGTCAGTTGTTGGAATCCATGATGAGGCTGTTGGTATGAAGGTGGCGGTTGCGACGGATACGTTGCTGGTAATTGGGTGTGCGGCCTATGCATGGACGAATGTAGTCCATAGGGTGCGTAGCGTGCATAGTGAGCAGCCACAACCCCGTATCCGGGTACCTGGGCTAATTGGTGAGCAGTAGCGGCGGCTGCCGCTGCTCCTGGATTGTACCCTGGTGTTGGCAACGAGGCAGCTGCCAGCAGCGCCAGTGCCGAGTCTGGATACATAGGATAAGACCAGACAACTGCCATACGCTGTCGCTTGTCCTTCATACGACGGTTCTGAAACCAGACCTGGAACCGACTGCGATGAAAATACCTCTGAGCTAACTATTACGGGTGTTCCGCGATTACCAAATTATCAAATCTAATCAAAGTTTTATTTTAATCAACATTGATCACTGAAATCACTAAGTTGCAATCAAAAGTGTCAGTGGTTGCTACTATAGATCAGGCAAGTTAGCTCTGTACCATCTTTAAAAGTATGATATAACATTATATTTCGCCTACCTTGATCGTCGATTCCGGAAGATTGAGCTCGGCAGCGAGTTCTATTCTTCTAGGCCGGCTAACGTAGTTTTCGGCTATGAATTCCTTTTCTAGCCTAGCTAGTTGGTCTCTCGTAAAGGCTGTTCTGTATCTGCGTATGTTTGGATCTACTTGCGGCGGCACTGACCCAGCTGAAAAAAGATAAAGCGATCTGATTGTTAACATAAAAACGTTAAAGCATGAATATGAACGATTCGTAAAAGGATAAGCTTTCATAAGAGAGAAAAATATTTATACTACCATTATTATTTATTACATTTTACCGGACATTAATTGTTCTATTTAATTATGTACATACGACACTTATTATTATAGCTATATGATATAGTGTGAAATATCATATAGTTATGATGTCACCGTATACTGCAAAACTTTGAAAAGTATGTTCAATGAATGTCAATTGAAATGGCAATTGCAATGATTGCGCATACAAAAACAACATTTGATTAAAAACAAACGTCTAATTTAAACAGTGCGCGCCTATTTTAAATACATTATGTGGATAAATGATCAAAAAATATGTATACTTTTGTCGTTTTTAGATTGGAAGTTGTGGATTAGCTCTGGACTGTGCGGTGGACTAAGTTGGCCGAGTTGACTATATTGCTGAGTATGCATAAGGTCGACAATCACTGACTTGTCAGCTTGCTTCATATCGATAAAGCCTTTGTGCTGGAGTGCCTGCATATTACTCGTTAAAGTACACTGTACTACAGATCAACAAATTCTTTTTTGCGCTCTCCTTATTAATTTGCTGTACTCGACACGTACAAGAACACCCAAAGGCCGACTAACAGTAACTAATACGCGGCTGAATACAGTCGAGGGCGGCGGTGCGCGACTGTTTGCTTGGGGGTGAGACGCTTTCACTAGTGATGCTACTTCTCAGCGTTGATTGGCTCAAGGCTTCTTGCTCACCCATTCCTATTGGCTCGAGTAGCCACTGCTCCGCCTTCTTATGGTCGGCCATCATTTGCTCCGTCTCCTCACCTCGCCGCTCCTCACCAGTATTTCGTCCATCACCTCTACTTTTTGTCTCTTTCTACTTCGCTTCGTCAAGAAATTATCTCCAATAATACTGCCATATAAAATCTCGACTGTTCTATTAGCCTACCTGATGTTGCTCGCAGGCTATTTTCCTTTACGGTCTCAGTTAGCTTTCTCTTTTCTCAGCAGCCCTGTCCAAGGTCCTACAGAGGCAGTGGCTGCTACTTTGCTACTGTCGTTGTTGCTTCTTTTTCAGTAACAAAAGACAACCGCACTCCTACTTTCACTTTTACTCAATTCTAACTAACGACACTTCCCCCAATAACCATATTTCCTACCCTCCGACGCTTCATTGATCTCAATAATCATTATTATTTCACAAGTATCTTTGAGTAATCAATTTGTGTTTAAAAACATTTATTTGCTTCATGATGTTATACGTTATATTTATACATTAATTACAAGGTTTATTTGACTATCTCGTTTGCAATATTTTGTTAATCATTTCGGAAACAAATTTTTTAATATTGTGCATCAAATTTGCAAATTTATGCGTGTAAGTTTGTATTTTTATTTGGTATATTATATGAATCCGATCTATAATATATAGCTAAATTTTATCACATACTTTACGTAATATTTATTCTATAATATTAACGTTACTAAGTAAAATTAATTATTACACTAAGAGACTATCAATGTAATATACTTTTTTTACAATTCAAAGCGATATAAATTTTGTCGGATATTGTCATAAATCAAAACAAGGCGGAGGGTTTAAATTGTAGCCGTATCCCGCTGAGTCACTTCGTCCTCCTCTCTTATGCCTTTCTTTTTATAGATATTACCTGAAATAGGCCTTGAAACAATGTAAAAGTTGACTTCTTAAATATCTTAGGGCCGCTGTCATGTTCTGTCAAAGCACTAATCATTATTGGCTAATTGAGATATTTTTAGGCGTAGTATTTTGTTGTGATTTTCCACAGGTACAAGCAACGGACTCTTAGATTTAAGTAAGGTTATTAAATTTGCTATTCTATCATGTCCTACAGGAAAACTGGGACAATCATATCCTTCAAGTAAAGCATGTACGTATAGGACGGTCATAAAATAATAAGATGCATAATAAAAAACGATTTATGGCATTAATAATACATGGCACTAACTTTAGACAATGTTATTTTTATAAATTTAACACTATTTTAATCATTTGTAAATATTTGTATTTTATGCTGTCTGTAGATTTACGTAGCTTCGAGAAAGTTCTATCGGATTTCCTCCACGTTATTGTTTATACGATTTCATTCATCAGAGATCATATAGAATTAAAAAAAAATTAGGCCTATAATGTCGCATAGTTGAAACGTAAAGTATGTTCTTAAGTATTTTTATTTACCTAATATAGATTTTTTGGGTACACGCGCGCGCGGGTGTGCTATAGCGTGCTTTTGTGTATGAATTTTGAAGGCTTGCTCTAGTTGCGGCAATATCTTTTGAAATCCAAAAATTTTTGATATATTTCTGAATCTTCTACAAACAAAACCTATTTAACTTCAAAAGTTTTTAACATAAATCATAGCTATTGTGTAGGATGACGGCAAAAACTTTCCTCGAAATTATACTTTTTAAGTCCAAAACGATACAAACTATATATTTCATAATTTATTTTTTATTGAAAGCTGTAGGGTAGGAAGGATTCAATAATTGGTAAATAAATTATTAATTATATTTTTATTCTTTCAGACAATGTTATGTATGGTCGATTGGAGCGAATAAAATCCGCCATTTTCTAACAATTCTAAAGTATTACTGTAGTCCAACTGTCATGAATTTAGTATAGTTTTTATTATATTTTATATACAAATTAAAGCGAATTATATATGAAATTCAATACGCAACGTGAATAATAAAGTTATAACATGTGAATTTTAAATAAATACTGAACTTATTTGTGTGTGTTATACACGCTATTCTTAATGTTAATGAGTATATTGTTTTATTTTGGTTTAGTTTTTGTTTATTTTAATATGAAATTTGGAACTAATATATTAATATTGTCGATTAATATTAATGAGTTTTACAATTAGAAATTAGACGTAATTTTTAATAATTTTCTGAAATTTTCCATAAGTGAGCATTATAACATTTTTTGTATTTTTATGTAGAATTTGTAGCTTATAGTTATGTACACTGAGAACAATGTTCATATAAAATTTATTATTATAATAATTACTATAATAAAATTGGAATGCCATAATGTACTTGATACACGACAAATTTGTTCATTATAATATTAAATATTAATAATATTGATATATTTGATAATATTTATTATTTTCAATAATAAAAATTACTTTTATTCATCAATGTTTACTATATGAGCTAGGAAAATGTCTGTTTTATCAAAATAGGGTGTTATGATTTTTACTAACCATATAGTAAGTAATGAATACGGGAAGAAAATCTCTAATCGTGTCATCACTTTTGTCGTGTGTCAAGTCGGGTTATGTGATTAATGTGCATGCTTCTTTACCATATGCAAGTTTAGTTGTCTTATAAGTAGATGGTATCATTTTTTAACTTGTATTGATGTAGTACTCATTAATACTATATTATTAAAACTATATATTAGTACTCATTAGTACTCATTAATTACTATACAAGAATACCGTAAACGAATGTAGTTAGATATATATGAGAATTGTAACATAGATTAACCCTTAGAGTTTAAATACTTGAGAAGTCAAATGTCGAATTTGAAGGAGTTGATGTATTTAGGTGAATTATTTTGGTAGAACTACAAATGCTAAATTTTTATATAAAGGTGTGACTCTAAGTGTTGAATATAAATCTTAGATATAAATAGATGTACGGCGAAACTCGAGCGTATCGATGTATTGTACCGAATTCATAAAATCGATAAGAAACAACTCTGGTGAACAAGAAATAAGTAAATAACTACATTGAAGAGGATCATACACCAATTACAAAAATTATGTTCATTTAAAGATATAATTAAAATTTTTTTTTATTCTTAGTTTCTATTGCAAAAATTGTTTTGTGTACAACCTATTTTACATAGTAAATTTTTCTTTGAATTTTACTTACGATACACAATAGAAATAGCGATTCTATGTAGTAAAATTTCATGTTTAATTTAGTGATTTTTCTGATATCTTATAACATATATTAAATATATCTTAACATTTCTATATAATATAGTAATTTTTATTATATTCATAATAAATTTTATAAAAAATTTTTTTATTGTAGATTTTTAGTTGTAGCTTAGAATAATCTGAATGAATGTTGGTAATTTCATTTTTGTAACCGTTTGATACAATAGCAGACATTTTTCCTTTAACCTTGAACGTATAAAAATACCGACTGTCCTCAAATTGTGTTGGCATATAATCGGTCAAGTGACAGCAACCTACTCTATACGAATGGAGTTCGATTCCAGTTGTGAGCGAATTTATTCTAGAACACAACTTTTTAACATTTATTGCAATTCAAACATACCTTAACTTTTATTTATCAGACGATCAACTTCATAAAATTTCAGTTAAAAATAGATTAAAATTAATATGAGTATTATATGTATATGATATACACGTTACACATTTTACAACAACAGATGTATATAATATAATATAGCTTTTATTGATTTTTGTATGTCATTTCTATCATTGTGCAGAAAAAGAAAAAAAAATGGTACAAATAATCTACTTTCACAATTTTTTATAGCACTATTTCTTATAGTAATAGACCGGTATGTAGTATTCCATAAAATAAAAAGTGAATAAATTCTCTTGCCAAATTTTTACACCATATCTGAAAATTAATCAAAAATTGGAAATCTATTTATCTAATTGACAAAAAGAATATTGAAAGACTGAAAATCTTAGTGTCAAACTAAACTGATTGATTACCTCTGAAAAATGTGTTGACTCTGATTACTATATATTATTTTTAATCCATTATGTTATAAAAAATTATGAATTGTCTTTTAAATAGCCATGCTATTTTAATATTACTTTCATAGTTATAGATATATATAAATTATATATATAGATATATTTGATCCCTAGACATGTTCCTTTTTGCCCCTTATTTCCTTTTTTTGGCTCCTTGTTGCTTTTGTTTGACCCTTTACATTTGTGTTTTGTTGTGTACATGCGTTTTATACATATTTGCTTATTTGTGTACATTTTTTGTTCATACTAAATTTTTAAATACGTTTTTGTATTATAAATGAATTTCATCATTTATTCATTTGTTCTGCTCTGTCATGGATGTTGTATTTTTTTTGTCTATAAATCAAAATTGAAGGTATTAATTAATATGATAGATTTCAATATTGCAATTATTAATTCAAAAGGATTATTACCTTCTCAAATAATGTTTTAAATGACTATAAAAATTTATATAATTATATCTAACAATAGTATATTTCTCTCCATAATTGGTATTTAATTATAAATGAGAGGATCTAATTCGTGATTATTCGTAGATATCATAATGAAAGATCTCAAAAATAGTTGCTTAATACTATTAGAAATCCAGGTTCGACGTATCCCACTATTTTACTGTAGATACGTGGATGTTACTATTATGGATATTCCTAGAGACGAAATCAACGTAATATTACAGACGTTCAATTAACATTACCTTAGACTACAATTTACTATCAAAGTAGAGACAAATAATAGTATCTCGTTCGAAGGTTTGATGATGATCAAAAATAATAATAAAATAGAGTTCGACTGGTTTCGAAAAGCAACAGAAATTAATAGAAATATGAATTTTATCTTTAAT